TTTATATATTTAAAAATATATATTTATTCAAATTTTAAGTATGATTTATATTTAAAGATATTATTTATATACATAATTTATTTTAAATTTTAATAATATAATAAACATTTAACATGTGTATTAATACTATTTTAATGTAATCATAATCTAGAAAGGTGTTTAATCATATTTTTCTAATTTTTTTCCTCTTATTTTCTGCTACTAAAAATATTAATAGAAAAAAACTATTACATGTAATGTAACTTAATAATTCTGTAAATACAAAATATAAACTGAGTTGGGTGGAATCAGTCATGGGCTTTTATATTCCGCATATGGGCCTATCCCATGACTTCAGGAGTCGGGTTATGGGCCTAACTCGCCCTGTTCAAGCGCAACCATACTGTGAACTATAAACTACGGGTCGCCGCACGTTCCACTTCCGATTCAAATGTGAAGATTCTGCAACGTTCATGAATCACCAGCAAATCGTGAAAATGCGCATGGTTTGCATAGTTGTTACTTGTCTCATTTCTAATTGGATTTTTTTTTATTGCTTATAACTTTTTACGCGTCAAAAAAGTATAATTAAGATTTTTTTTTCGTTTTTGTTGTTGAAAAATCGTGTGAAACGAGGACAATGAGGATGAAGAATCACGATGCAGATCCTAGTCTAGTAATTGCCCGGTTAATTGCCGAAGGTGGTTATTTTTTGCTGGGTTTGATGTTTCCCTTACTCATCTGAGATCTTCTTTATCAATTTATCCATTTAAAAAGAAATTGTCAGATATTTTTTGTGAATTGTTGCTTTATCTTTTTAATTTTTATTTTTTCATGTGGTGTTAGAAGAAACAAAAGTATCGTAAAATAAATGACTTGATGTAGTAGTTAGGGTTTAGAGCTTAGAGATTAAGGTTTATCTGTTAGCTTATTTTGGAGAAGCTAATTGGAGATAATTTTTACAATTTAGGTTATGGATTAGTTAATTTTGGTTATCTTATGTAGATGTAGATGGGGGCAGTGGTAGAAAGTGATGAATAAAGCAGGTACTTCTGATGATACGTCTAGGGTTGTTCTCTTGGTGTAGTTAGCGTGACTGTGCCGAGCAATCTGGACTGTGTCTGCATGAGTTACATTATCATCTGCCACTGATTTATTCACTGTCCCATGTTTTGATCATTTAAAATTGTAAATATATGATGCAATCACGAATTTTGTTATTTTGAGGGAGGAGGGAATAGAGTTTGTGCTGCTTTTGATATGATAAGGATTTCTTGTTACTGTTTTGTCTGACTAAATTTGCGATTTGTTGTGGAGTTCGTGTAAGTGTGCCCCTAAACCTTTCAGATGAAATTATCGCGTGAGTTTTTATTTTTATTTTTTTATTTTTTTATTTATTCTTGAGGAATTTTTATCAAAGAATTTGCTTAGTAAGGTTTTAAATTGCATTGTGGTCGTTGTTTTATTGCAATTTTTGACATGGTAAAAATTGCAAAATTGTTTTATGCTGTAGAAAATTGTAAACTGATGCGTTTGATGTAACTGCAATTTTAATAGAAATGCAGTCTGGGAAATCCCAAAAACTTTAGGAGTAAACTATCAATTCTTTGAAAGTGTGACAATTACCTTTACTTTAGTTCTTGATTTTAACTAAATGAAAATATAGTCCCTCCCAAAGTCAATGGCTGTGCTAATGTGGCATTGACCTTGTACCAACTTGTGAAATGTGTGGACAGAGACTTGAAATGATATAAACAGGACCAAATTGAAAGTGTAATACGTTTTGTAGATGATACAACAGATTCCACAATATGTTCTAAACTTAAAGCCATAGTGTGGAATACTGGCTTACCCTTATATTCTGTCATCAAACACTGCAAAATTTGACCAGCCTTGCACTGCAATTAGAGTGTAGGATTCAAGTAAAACGTGTAATTTTTGTGCCATATTTATGATCTTAGAATTACAATTGGGCATTCCAAGCTTTAGGGAGAGGAAAAAGCCTTAACAAAATGTTGCTGGGCAAGTTGGTAGAGTTCTTAATGAAGACATTCAGGAAGGAAGGATGGGTTCTGCTATGCTTGTGCTTGCAGTTTGGAAGATATCCTATTAAATTAGAAAATATAAAGAAAGATATAAATGCAGAATCTGTTTAAATGTAAGTTTAGAAACGGTTAAGAAAATTTCTCTAGTAAAAATAAAGAGCTATTTTTAATAGAAAGGCTAATTTTAGCTTATATTTAAACATGTTCATATGTATAACACTGGTGTATTTCCAAGGAGCAATATACACAGGAAAGATGTGATTTTCTACCACTCGTGTCATCTGTTTAAAGCATTAGGACCTTATGAAAAAATTATCATATTGACTTGTGCTACAACTCCATTCCCTGTTTTTGGTGGTAAATTTTTCTATGACTAGATTGGTTTTTGATTATGCTCCTTCAAGATTTTAGCAAAATGCATGTTTTCCGGTGTTGAGGATTGAAGTACTTTATTATTATTTTTTCTATGCCTCTACAGACTATAAGCGAATCGCAGAAGAAAAAAAAAACATTATACAAAGAGTAACCACACATTATCATTCCATTATATAAATCTACACACATATTCTAAATGTTCAAACAAATACTCCAAAAACAATTTTTAACCACTAAGCAAAAAATTTTAGTCGATAAATTTTTGAAATGATAATATATATCTTAAATAATAAAAAATTCACATAAATATTTTTGGAGTAACAATCTTATTAACGTCTCTCCTTCTAACTATGTGAAATTAATGATAAATCTTTATTAAAAAACTTAATTAATTATTTTTAGTGAATCATAAAATTCAAATCTAGACTTTGCTTAAATAATAATATATATCTTAAATAAAAATTAATATTGCACATAAACATTTGTTGGATAACTATATTATTGAAGTCTTTCTTCCCAACTTCGTGAAGTTGGTAACTAATCCTTATCAAAGAATTTGATTAACTATTTTTAATGAATCATAAAATTCGATTCCAAACTTAGTTTAAAAGGATCGAATTTAATACTACTTAAAGTAATAACTTATTAGTAAACTTCATATATATTTATTATTAATAGATAACTTTTTTTTGTATATATATATATATATATATATATATAATTAATAACTTTTATTGATAAAATAATAATAATAATAATAATAATAATAATAAATAATAATAATAGTAGTATATTAATATATTATATTATATTATATTAGTTTTTTTTATAGTATTTTAATATAATATAATTGTTGATCTATTTAAGTTATATATATTAATTTTCATTTATGTATGAGAAAATGTATGTTTATTAGTACAACATAAATATATATATATATATAAATTTTAATTATATGTAAAAGAAATTTATTAATTTAATAGTTAAATGTTATTGTAAGACCTAAGATTTAGGTATTTTAATCTAACTTTCAAATATTTTAAAAGTTTCTTATCACATTTTGAAGGTAGAGGATAAATTTTTTGAGGTTAAATTGCATTTTTGGTCTACATATATATTTTCAAATTTGTAATTTTGTTTTTCTTTAATTATGAAATTTTAATTTTTTAATATTATAAAATTCACAATTTTAGTTTATCATCAAATGTTCATTCATGGATTAATAAAATTGTAATATTAATTATTATATAACATTATGAAAATGACAAGATAATCAAAATTTAATAATATTCAAATTACAATTTACTTATAATTATCATATTCATCTTGTAAAAATAATAAAATGAAGAAAAAATAAAATAAAATAAAAAATAATTAAAAGTATAATTTAATCTAAATATTATAAAATATTAATAATTATTTCATTGACTTAATGTTAGAAATAACTAATGTTAAAATTTTGAAACGATTAATGAATAATCATTTAATGAAAAAATTAGAATTATAAATTTTATAAAATTGGGAGATTAAAATTTGAAAATTTGAAAATAAATAAACTAAAATTGTAAATTTAATATTATAAAAAATAAAAGTATAATTTAACTTTATTTTTTATATATGATATTGATATAAATAATCACTGAATTAGTGGGTCTCTCATTTCATCTTAAATAGTTAAATGTAACATAATTTCTTCAATTGTAAATCCTTTTAACTTTCTAATCCTGTCATCACAGGTATCAGGCAGTAATTCTCATCAGTAAAAAACCAGAAAACGGATCAATAAAGGGTCGGAAAATGGAACGCAGGCGAAACGACCCAACATTATTTACTTCAACCAACGCAACAAATTCCTTCTGGCGAAGAATGGCGGCGCCCGGCTCAGCCGCCGCCGCCGGAGGCACCGCCAAAGCTACGGTGGCCGAGCAGATCTCTCAGGCGGTGCAGTCCACCTCCAACCTCCTCCACCTCATGCAAGACTCTTCACCTGCTCAGGTTCTACCTCAACACTGCCAATTTGTTCAAATAATTTTTTTTTATTTTGATTACTTATTGAAAAATTGATCTTTCATGAGATGACCCTTTTGATGGGGGAGTAAGTCTTGATTGTTGTAATTGTGGTTGATTGATGTTAGGGTTTTGATGGAATAGAGCGAAAGTTGTAAATGTTGTTTAGACTAATCATAGAATCTAAATAATTGAAAGTTGTTGGCTTTTGTAATAAAAATTTGAGTTAATCACCTATACAGTAGTATTTTACACTGGCAACCAATCAGATCTTTTAAATGAGTTTATTTTATTTTTATTTCATTAAATAAGCAACTGACATGATATTATTAAAAGATCTGTCAGTGTAAAACACCTTTACACTGACAGTGTATAGATGATTAACTCTTAAAATTTAGTGTTGGGAAAAAAATAACTGTTTATGAAATAAGCAGGTTGTTTGAAATAACAACTTAAATTTATAGACAACTTTTTATTTTTCTCTAGAAAATAAACTCTAAAAGTTGATTTTTTTTCTTAAACAACTTAAATTTAGGGTTATTTTTCAACAGTTTTTTTCCTCTTATTAAAGTTGATTTTTTTTTTGTATCCAAATGAAATTAAATATATCTTAATCGGTATTCAACAAACTTACCCAAACAAAAATTCTGTCCGATTATATTGGATTATAGCAATAATTGACTATACATATAATCAATTATTGTAATAATTTAATTTTCACAATTTTCTCAATCACATTCTTAATTACAATGTATTGATCACGTAAAAGTTTCTTGTGGTGTCGTTGAAATCCAATCATAGATTGGTTGTCCTGTATGTTAAGTTTGTTAGCTTTTGTAATAATTACTTTAAAAGCTATGCTGTGATGATTTCTGAACGGTTGACAATGGAAAAATTGTGCATGAAAATTAAACTTATTTAGAATTCATGTACACTGTAAGTTCTAATTGATAGACAGGATAAAATTATGTACACCGCTGACCAAAATCTTTAATTAGTTGTCAGCGTATCAAAACTAAACTCCTCAATTTTTTATCATTTGCAGGCTGAACTGATTAAGCTTCCTAAGAACCTTTTGGCAAAGGTTTCTACAATCAAGAATACAGAGCAGGTGTTTACATCTATCTGATGCAGGGCTGCGGATGACTCATCACTCTGAACAAGTGTGCAATGATGATTTTTTTTTCTGTTTTTGTTGTTGCACAGGTTTTACAGCAGTTGCCTGGGGTGATATCATCGCTTGATGCACACATGGAAAATGGGTTACAAAAGTGTGAACCTTCTCTTGTCTAATTGAATGTACTGTAGCTGTAATGTTTTCATGTTTTTTGAACCTAGGGTGCATATGAAGTGTTGTGAGCTGAAACCTTGAGCTAAACTGCTAATTATTTATTTTGAAGCTGTTGTGTGGATGCCTAGTCATTTGAGACGGAACCCCCCATTTCTTTTTTTTTTTGCATCAAGATTTTGTGTGTAATTTAGTGCATGGCATAGGGTTTGTTTTTATTATGGCTGATGTGGGTTATGAATTTGCAGTGTCCCGCATCTGAAGACCGTGGTTCAGGTACTTGCAAATATGGAAAGTAGTCAGATTAGTTCGCTATCCCGCACCAATCCTATCCAGAAGGTATGAATATAATAGCTTTGTCAGTGATGCAGTTTTGAAATTTATTTTATAATTGAAAATGAAGTTTAACATTTAGAGTGTATGTTCTGACGGGAGAAAGCTAGGAATAGTAAGGTTTGACAGCAAAATCATTGTTGTTCTTCTAATGCCGGGGAAAAAGAAAGGAAGAATAAAAAATGATAAGGAATCTTTGAGTGAGGTCAATTTTGTGAACGACTTTGGTGCTATGTATGAGTGATCATTTTCAATTTGCAACGTTCAGGAATCACAAGCAAATCAAATACTAGTGCACATGGTTTGCATAGTTGTTAGTTGCTCTCATTTCTAATTGGATTTTTTTTATTGCTTAAAACTTTTTACCCATCAAAAAGTATAATTAAGATCTCTTTTTTGGTTTTTGAATAACTGTATAAATTGAGGACGATGAGGATGAAGAATCATGTTGCAGATCCTAGTCTAGTAATTGCCCGGTTAATTGCCAAAGGTGGTTATTTTTTGCTGGGTTTGATGTTTCCCTTACTTATCTGAGATCTTCTTTATCAATTTATCTATTTTAAAAAAAATTGTCAGATATTTTTGTGAATTGTTGTGTTATCTTTTTAAGTTTTAGTTTTTCATGTGGTGTTAGAAGAAACAAAAGTATAATGTAATAAATGAGTTGACATAGTAGTTAGATTCTCTGCAATTCAGTGTTCGATACCGTCATGTGCAAAAATTGTCAGAGGTAATGAAAAATGAAATAAATTTATCTGTTAGCTTATATCTAGCATGTTTTGGAGGAGATTATTTTTACAAATTAGTTTATGGATTAGTTAATTTTGGTTATATATTATGTAGATGTAGGTGGGAGCGGTGGTAGAAAGTGATGAATAAAGCAGGTACTTCTGATGATACGTGTACGGTGGTTCTCTTGGTGCAGTTAGTGAGACTGTGCCGAGAGCAATCTGGACTGTGTCTGCATGAGTTACATTATCATCTGCTACTGATTTATTCACTGTCCCATGTTATTGCTCGAGTAAATATATGATGCAATCACGAATTCTGTTATTGTGTCAAGCAGTCTTTGTTGTTCTTCTAATGCCATCTGTGATGAACCTGTTTTGCCAGAAAAGAAAAAAAAAGAAAAAAAAAGGAAGAAGTAAAGAAAGAAGATAATAAGAAATTTGCGTGAGTAAAACCAACTTTCTGAACGACTCTGGTGCCATGTATGGCTGATCGTTTTCAATCATGTTTCTGAACAGGAACTTGAACCAGGAAATCAATCTCAAGGGACTGGTTAAAGAAACTTGTGTTATCAATTCATGCAGAGTTTTTGGTAGGTTTGGAACTGAGACCAGCTGTGTCTCCTTCATGAAGTCTTCCTGTAAATAAAATGCTGTTCCATCTTCTGATGAAGTGCATGGTTATTCAACTGAGAAACCTGTTAAAAACTGATGACAATGTGCCCAAGTTTTAGATTGGGGTCCTTGTCCAAAGAATTCAAGGTTAGGTTATTAATTAATTGATGACAATTGGCTGTCTGTATTCCGTAATCTATAACCATGCATTTTCGGCTTATGATTTTTTTTTTTCTTTTCATCTTTGGTGAATTGCCAAATGTTATGTGCAAAGTGATGTATCTTTGGCATTTCTACTGCCCAAGACATCACAGGCGTCAGGCTTTACGTCCCAGTGTTCATGTTCTTACTTTTAATGTAGAGAAGAAAGAAGGAATAGGAAATTCAACACCAATTTTTCACCTCACTGATATAGTTAAGACTGACACACAAAGGTTAACTATCATATGCAGGCAATTAAGCCAGCAAAGTGATTCGACAAGGAAACAACTACTTTATATAAAACAGGGTATAATAAAGTCAATGAAAATTACTTAATTTAGTAATTTACAATTTTACATTTTGTCATTTTGAGCTGCTGTAACACAAAAACCAGACAGAAGTAGCCAATCTACCATGTAAGATCTTTTTCTTGTTCGCTACAATTCATATAATAATTTACCTATTCCAACAAGTTTCTTTTATGATTATTATGGTACTGAGATATCTGATTAAAGTACAATATACAAAATCAGAAATAATGTGGATTGCTGATAGCCGCATTCAAATAGAAATTCGTTTGATTTGATACTCCCCAAAGTCTTTAACCCATAGCTGAAAATCCTGGTGGGATCACCTACCAAAACAATGAACAACTTGTAATCTTACCTCCTATTTCCTTCCAAATGTGACACCCTCTAACCTAACATACATATACAGTAATTATAAAAAAATAAAATTTTTCATCAATAAAAATCAAATTTCCAACCACGTAAAGGTAAAGAGTTCACATTCATAAACTTAATCCAAATAACATGCCGGTAAAATTATAAAGAAATAAAACTGAATTTTTCAAAATAATTTAATAAGAACATCTTAAACTAATCCTATCTATGTCCCGATGTCACATGTCCTATCAGAGCAAAACCCAACATAGAAGCCTAAGCTTCATCACCAACATCCTCAGCCTCATGCTGATGATCACCTGTATAATAGTCAAAGCAAAACAACACGAGAAAAGGGAGTGAGAAACATCTCACTCTGGCTCACAGTGTAGAAATATACGCCGAATAGCCAAACACAAACAAAATAAGTATAACATAGATAAATTAATAATAACATCACACTCATCCAAGACATAAACCATCACTTTATCATATAACATTAAAAATGCATAAGTATGGACACGGACTACATATTATCATGCATGTGGCGCCAGTAAAACATCACATGGCATATTGCCGCTAGCAATACACGAAGAGTAGTCTAGGAGTACATGCCGGGTCACACCCTCTGCGCACTCTCACTAGAAGGATATACTACCAGAGTCTCGTCGGGATAGCTAAGCCGCGCAAGATACATCCCATGCACACAATGGGCGAGACTGGGACTTCCAAACCGAGCTATCCCCAAGGACTAATCCCCAAAGCTTTTACACTAGGGGGCCTTCTCTGGCGGTGTATTCCATATCGTACCCTTAAAACACTTATGCAAATGATGCATGTCAATCAAGACTCTATGCATTCTCATATCACATTATCATTTCCCATGGTCATATCACATCATCACATTTCGTCATCATATTTCATTATCACATTTCATATCTCATATCTCAATCACATTTCACATTATCTCATCATATTCACAAAGTCTCCACAGAGCACTTTAATTTATATCAAAACTCGTTTATTTATAAAACTAAATACATATTTTTACATATCATCAAACAAGGAATATAACAGAACAATTAGAAATCAAAATAGAAAATATTCAAATTTTGCCTATTTTTCACAGGGTTTCCCGCAGGAACCCATAGAGCACTCTAAATCATATCAAAACATATTTATTTTCAAAATTAATCACATACTTACACATTACATTTAACAAGGAATACAATAGAGCAATTAGAAATGAAAACAAAAAATATTCATATTTTGCCTATTTCTCATAGGGTTTCCCATAGGAACCCATAGAGATCTCAAATCATACAATTAATTGCATATAAGAAAAATAATAAGCAAAACAGATACAATTGGGAGAAACCCCTCATACATGAGCATACAAAAATACAGCAATACACAGGATTGAGGGCCAATCCCACTACCCAATATATATTCTCACACCCAGAGCAAGATTTCTCACTCCCCCCTTACCTCGATAAGCAGGAGCTAAATCTTGTTGGTTTCCCCCTCCAGGTTCCCCTTCGTCTTCAGAGAGGAAGGAGGAAAAAGGTCAAAAGTGAAAAATGCGTTTTTCTAGAGTGCCGGAACGCATTTATAGGCATCAAGCCGCGGCCAGAACGGCCTGTTTTGAATCCGGAACGGTCCGTTCTGAGCCCGTAGAACACGTACAAAAGCCTCTCCAAGAACAGTCTGTTCTGGGATTTTCGGAACGACCCGTTTCAAGATGGAACGGCCCGTTCGGAGTCAATACTTCATTCTTTTAAATCACATCCGGAACGTCCCATTCCCAATGTGGAACGGGCCATTCTGGGTTGAAATTTTACTCATGAATGCTTGAGTTGGAACGGCCCGTTCCGGGCTATGAAAATTCAAAATTAGTAGTTAATAAATAAATAAATAATATATATATATATATCAAATTAAAATAAAATATCAATACAATTTAAAACATAATTTTCTTCAAATAATAATTATAACAAAATATCATAATTAATAATATTATACAAAATAATTTTCATAAATGATTATTAATAAAAACCTTTAAAAAATCAATCAAACCCATTTAATTAATCAAAATAATTATAAGGAAATAATCTTCATAAATATAAAAATAAATAATAATTATTCGTAGTATTAGTAGAAAAATTCGGGGTGTTACAATTCTCCCATCCTTTTAAAAATTTCGTCCCCGAAAGTACCTGAGGCAAATAAAAAAAAATGTCTGCTACATTTGACTTTTTAATGTTCCACCTTAGACTTCTAGAATACTACACACGAGTCCACAACTTCCTCTACTCCTCTCCTTACCTTAGACCACCACGCTTCCTCTACGCCACTCTCATACATCCTCCTAAGGTCCTAATCCATCTTAATAACTCCTAAGTGAATACTAAGAGTACTCTTATTGCCTTCTTCTAAGATCATCTTTCTTAATTCGGGATTATTAGACACATAGATTCTATCCTGAAACCACAAAACACCATCAACTTCCACTCGAAATGGGCTATCTATACCCTTACCAATCTTTTCCACTTGGTTCACTAAGAAAGGGTCTAACTCTTAGGCTCCTCTAATCTCATCCATTAATTCACTAGTCACCTTCGACATACTCAATTCAATGCTTCTAAGGGTAAGCTCACAAATCAAGCTTAAATCTCTAAACTCTTCAATCAAATTTAACCTTTAAATCCTCAAAACGATAGATGAAAGATCATCCTACTCAAGGCATCTGTCACCACATTGCCTTTACCTAGATAGCAACTGAGATTAAAATCCTAGTCCTTAAGAAATTCCAACTATCTCCTTTGGTCAAAAGATATTTAAGACTCTAACAATCACTAAATACCTCAAGCTTAGAATCATATAGGTAGTGTCTCCAAATCTTAATGTAATATCATAACCACTAACTCATAGATAAGGTAGTTCCTCTCATGAATTTTCAATTGCCTAGAAACATAAGCTACTACCTTTCCTTCTTGCATCAACAATGCATCCAAATTCATCTTATAAGTACTACTATATACCACAAAAGGCTTACTAAAATCCAATAATATTAACACTAGTCAATCTTGCCTTAAGAGTTGGAATTATTCTCATACTTACTATCCCATATAAAGACAATACTCCTCTCCTAGTGAATGTAGTTAAGGGCAATGCTATCTTAGAAATTTCTTCAATAAATCTCCAATAATAAAAAGCTAACCTCATAAAACTCTTATCTCACTAACTGGTTTAGATATCTTCCCACTTAAACACAACTTCTACCTGAGACAGATCCATGTTTACCTCAACTGGAATTTACAGGAACTAGAAAACTTATCTCATACAATCAAAATAAATAAATTAATTAATTAATCAATAAATAAAATAAAATAAGATAAATCATATTTTGTAACTGTGTGCGATCTGGGGTCATGTCCATATTGTACTTGTACTGTTTTAAGAAAGCCTCTGCCAAGTCTTTCCATGTGCGCACTCTTTCTCGCTCCAGGTTCATGTACCAACTTATGCGAAAGTGTTTTTGGTGAAGGTGATTACTAGTGCTCTTGGAGTAGTCATATTGGACTTCTCGTCTGATTGAATCATCAATACATCCTCTTTTGTTCGTAGCTGGCTCACCTAAACCAAATTTGAGTCAATCATGTCTTGTAATATTTGCTTGAACTTGCCACATTCCTCAATAGAATATGCAGTTGTAGGGTGGAGATCGCACACTCCTGCTTCGCAAGACTCTCCCTTAATCATCCCAAATTTGCACAATTATGAAAAAATGAATCTCATGGGGGTTTGGATCTTCTCTCCTTCTGTCACTTGTGGAGTACATTCTTCTTCAATAACATTAACCGATGAAGTCCCATGACCTGGAAGTGGATTACTTCCTACATTCGGCTCGCTTTCCTTAAAGATTAATAATCCCGCATCTATCAAGTTTTGTACCTTGTGTTTTAAACCCCAACATTTCTCAGTTGAATGGCCCATCGCTTCAGCATGATATTCACATTTGGCATTTGAATCATAACCTCTTGGATATGGAGGTTGGACAGGCTTTATAGGAAAAGGCACGATTAGAGCATTTGAACCAGATGTGGTAGTAGTTCAGTGTAGGTCATAAGGATCGGAGCTAGAGTATTTTTTTTATTGTTACCCCTTCTTTGAGCATTATTCACCATGGGAGGTGAAATTGCTGATTGATTTGCTTGGGGTACTGAAAATTATGGTGGTAGTGTAGGTGATCGATAACACATTCTGGATGGGTAAGGTTGTGGGTATGGTGGCAAAGAAACTGTTGCTATTTGCGGGTTATACACATATTGGGGTCTATAATTGGGTACGAAAGAAATAGGATTGTA